ATGCCCCCTCATAATCGTTTACGGGAACCCGTTTTATACACGCAGCGACTTTGTTAATTCGCATTTAATAACGATCATTCGTGTACGAAGGGCTCAAAATGCCCCACCACACCATTCACACCATCAACACCATATATACAGACAAAGTGCCGCATAATGCGTTATCGGCCTATGTACAGTATCACATTTAAAATAGTTGATTTTTTGGAAAAAAGTTCAGTTTTTACAAATGTGTATTTTTTTAAACATTTTGGGTGGGAACTATTGGCCCTCCTCCCGTCATTGGGCCATTGGGGCATCGGCCTACCGTTCCCCGCCCCGCCACTTCCCTCTGTCTGCCCTTTGTCATTCGAGCACTCCATCATCGAACTGTCGGCGTGCCCTCCTCGTTAAGTCCAGCCTGTTGAAGCGCATGGAGCCCCTCTTCATCATCGCCACCATCCCCGTCCTCGCCACCATCCCCTAGCTGAACCCCATCACCCCCAGCCAATGTGCCACCGGTGAGCAGTTAGCGAGTTCTTCTTCTTCTTCTTCTTCTTCTTCTTCTTCTTTTTCTTCTTCTTCTTCTTTTTCTTCTTCTTCTTCTTCTTCTTTTCTTTTTCTTATTATTATTATTATTATCATTGCTATCTTGGTGGTGGTATGTGTGTGTGTGTGTGTGTGTGTGTGTGTGTGTGTGTGAGAGAGAGAGAGAGAGAGAGAGAGAGGGAAAGTGGTTCGTGAAACTGTCCCCTGATATTTTCTTCTTCCTCTCCCATCCTCCTTTTTCCTCTTCTTCTTTTTCTTCTTCTTCTTCTTCTTCTTCTTCTTCTTCTTCTTCTTCTTCTTCTTCTCTTCTCCTTCTTCTTCTTCTTCTTCTTCTTGTAGTTCGTCTTCTTCTTGAAGTTCTTCTTCTTCTTCCTCTTCTTCTTCTTCTTCTTCTTCTTTTTTTTCTTTTTTTTCTTTTTCTCTCCTTCTTCTTCTTCTTCTTCTTCTTCTTCTTCTTCTTCTTCTTCTTCTATCTCTGATAATCCTACTCATCCCCCATCTTCATCATCTTCTTCTTCTACCTCTCACCTCCTCTTTCTTCATCATCTTCTTCTTTCACATCCCCCCTTCTCCTCCTTTTTCACTGTCTCCTTTTACCTCTCCCCTTCATGCACGCTCATTGACAAGGTAAGCAATGCAAAGGAGCAAAAGGACCAGTGAGGTGATGATAAGAACTGAGACATACACAATGAGATCGACGACATACATGATGACATATGAGAGACAATGTCAGAAACGGTATTCACGTGTTAGTGGTAGCGAGTGCAGATCCGAGGGTTCGATCCCTAGTTCTTATTTTACCCGTATACAGTACCTTTGTCAACCCCAAGAGTTGAACTTGTGACCTTATATTTGCAACAGTTGATAGGCTGTCGTAGGTCTGTAGGTTGTAGGGGTTCGATATGTAGACCTATTGGGTGGAGGTCTTAACAAGTTCTAGAAGTCGTAGTTGTAGCCCTCATGAAAGGTCAAGGTCGTAGCTGCTACAGTGTCGACCGGCCAAGTCCACAACCTTCCGGAAGGTCCGAAAGTGGCCCTTCCAACGTTACTCAGAGTAGACTAGAGGCAAGTGGGCAAGTGGTGAAGTTCACCCTTGCTGAGTCAGCGGTACCCAGTCCCAATCTCACTGAGTCCAGTCAGCAAGTACCATAAGGAACTGTGTGCACCATGGGCCCTGTGGAAAGAGGCAGACCAGCGACTTCCAGAAGTATAAATCAAGAGGCAGCATCCAACCATTCATTCATTCTTGCGTAAGCCATGCGGAAGCGCTGCTTGAGCGACTTGTGCGAGGTGGTCTGCAGAGTGCCCGGAGACAAAGTGGGCGGAAGGAGATAGTTAGCCATAGCCATAGAGGGTTAGCGGCCATAGCCGCCATAGCTGATAGGCGAGTGTGTGTGTGCGTGTGGGATATCCAGGGTGATCCGGAGTTGAGAGAGTGCGAGCAGTGGTGTTGAACAGAGAAACGGTGTCGGCGCGAATACCCTTACAAGGGTATCCGCCCTGGTTTTTGCAGATGACAGAAAAAATAAGTATAGATTAAGGTTGAGTATACCATGCGAGTCGCGGCAGTGTCTGTAGGTTACATTGACTGGATGGTTGACTATAGTAGAGAGTGTATGGGCGTGCGGATTTTGAGGCGCGCGTGATCTTTTACTTTTTGATAGTTGAAGAGTCGGCGTGGTCGCCGACCATAATTTTTATCTTATTTTCTGATTAATTTAGGATTAAAAAGATTATGTCGTGGGGATTGATGTACTTGCCTGGGTCTTGTGCGCACGTGTGGAGGGCGGCGTCGACAACGAGTATGACTGTTGAAAGCACTTCGGTAGGTTGTCGCGTCGCGCAGTGCCTCTTTAATAAGGCATCCGTCAGAGTTGAACCCAGACCCGGGCCTAGCTCTATTGGTTACAGCACCAGACTCTCATCAAAAGAGATTCATGGATCGAGATCGAGCAGCGACGACGTAGGAATATCGGATCGGCGAGGAGGAGCCTAGGAGTTGAGGGCCCGACGGGGCTATTCCCATTGGGTTGTCATCAACGGCGTCAGAATGGTGCCAGTGCTTCTTTTTGTCTTCATTTGTCGTATTCTGGCGACCAATAGCTCCTAAACAACTTCTATTCTATTTTTATTATCATTTTATTGTAACGCCGGATTTAGAGGCCGCCACGACAGTCGAGGACCTTCAGCGTGCGCCTCATATATTTGACCTACGGGATTCCGTGTGTTCGGAACACCGGCGAAGTTTCTCTACTTGGGCTGTTTTGAAACGTGGACCGAAGAGTTCAACGTGCATGCGGGCCATGGGTGATAGGCCCGCTAGGTGGAAGAAAACCTTGAGTGGTGGGGGTTGCCGCCGATGCACTATCTGCCGGCCAGGGTCTGTCGTGAGAGGTTTGAGTGTGAGCATGGCTTGTGGGACCCGGTAGATGGTGGGTCGTACCTAGGCGCAGTAATACAGCGTACCGGGGCGAGGACCGCAAACTGTCGCGGCCATTCGAGGGGAAAAACCTCCTCCACTTCGATCTTCAAAGTTCTCATTTGAATATTTGCTACAACCGCCAAGGCGTGTGCCGCAGCCCGCGCCGCCGAGGCCCACGCCACAGATTGCAGTGGGACTGCGCCTTGATTCCGTGAGATCGGTCGTCGGGAGCCCAGAGGAGGTTGTGTTGGAGGGTTAAGGGGACAGCAGCTAACTGAGCCGATCTACAGCCTCCGGGTATAGGGGCGAAGGACTGATCGGACCACGCAGTTGATCCTTCCCGCAGTCTCCCTCGGGCTGGTAGGAGAAGCTGGGGAAGCCGCTGCGTTGAGACGCCAGCGGACAATAGTAAGAGGGACGAGGGGCGGAGTGGCAAAGACTGTTGGGGCAATAGGGTCGGGCCACTGTGATTATCAGGCACTGCGCTAGAGGCAACGAACGACAACGCAGCGGGGGACACGCGCTAGGCCGGTGAGAGTGAAGCAGAGTAGTGACAGGTAGGAGAGGCTACGGGCGGCTAGGAGAGACAGCAGACTACGAGGATGGTGAAAAGAGGGACGAACCTGGCGCAGTCTCGCGCCAGGTACACTCGAGTATGGGAGATGATGAAAGGAGTGGGCTGGTCGGGCACCGCTCAGCAACAGCGTGCGGAGTGACAGAGCCATGGAGACGGGTGCTACGGCGGTGCAGACCGAGACGGGGGCAACCAGACAATGGGGGCAGGGCGAACCTGAGCGTTGAGAGGGGAGTGAATGAATGAACCCGGGCGGGATCAGCGCCGGGGTGCATTCACAGAAAAAGAGTGGCCGAGCGGAACAAGAGGTGGGCATGGCAGAAAGAGAAGAATGGCTAGCCCACTCGTTTCTTGATGGGTTTGGGTGGGACAAAGCGTGATTCTGAGATTCTGGGATTGGGCGACCTCGATGGTAGAGTCAGATTTAACAAAGGGTTAGTAGGTTTAGAGGTAAGTATGAAATAAGCTGCGCGGAGGTGGCAGAAACGGGCTATGGCAGGCGTGGGAAGAAGCGATATTTCGCTTGATTCTTAACGGAATCAAGCGAAATAAGGTCGTAGACTGTGTTTTTTTTGTATTGCGAATTAGAATGTGAAGTCAGATTGAGCAGAGGATCAGTAGTGTAGGGTGTTAGTAGAGAAAGTGGCCGCGCGAGGTTATGGTGGGGGGAGAGAAGACTGGGAGTGAAAAATCGAGATTTCACTTGATTCTCGGCGGAATCGAGTGAAAGAGGATGGTAGATCAGCATTTTTAGCCCGGGCGAACATGATTGTGGAGTTGGATTTGGGAGATACTTAGTAGGATAAGAGTCAGTAGGGAAGACAACTGCGCGGAGCTGTGGCCGGAACGCGGAGTGACAAGAGGGAAGGATCGAGATATCACTCGATTCCTGATGGAATCGAGTGATGTAAAGATCGAAGTGAGCGTTTCGGTGCATGGCGAGTATGATCGTGATGTTAGTTTTGATAGGAAGTTGGAAAGTTAGTCGGTATAGGAATATAGGATGCGCCGGAGGTAGTAGTTAGTCGGGGTGTAGAGTATGGAGTGAATCTGTCCGTGTTTCAGGGATAGATTCATCTAATTTTGTTGCCCCTGTTGGTGGGAGTATCATGAGGTCGGTTGCGCTGTGCAGAGAGAGAAGGAGAGAGAGAGAAAGAAGACTTAGCTTCCTCGACGGTGGGATTGTAGCCGTCGAAGGGGAAGGTTGGGCAAGGTAAGTGAGGCAGACGTTCCTGGGCGCCGTTTCGCGCCAGATGCACGCGCCCTGAAGGAGCGAGTATGGCGGGATGGAGAGGCTTTAGCTCACTTGTTCCTTGTCGGAATCGAGTGAACTAAAGCAGCAAGAAGGGGTTTTGGCATGGTGTGAGCGCGGTGGTGGATTCTGATGAGGCGTTAGATGAGTAGAACAGAAGGTAAGTGAGAAAAGGGGGTGCGTGGAAGTGTCGGGGCTGGATATGGCCAGACAGGGAAAACGAAGACCGCGTTCGGGTCTTGACGAAATCGGGGAGGGAAAGTAGTAGAGTAGAGGCCCGAAGTCGGGCGAGTTCGGGGGAGGTGTTAGAAGTGGAAGTCGGTGGTAAGAGTTTGAATTACGTTAGTAAGGTGCTGCATATAAAAGGGGTCAGTAGGCAGCACGCGCACAGCAGGCTCGCCGTTCTCTGGAGGCGCGACGATCGGAGCGAGAACGAAAATGGGCTTCGTGTATCTCATGTTTTTGCGTTGATCGCGGTAGCAGTTGATCATAGCCCACGCGATGGTATCAACGAGAAACTCGTCCAAGGATCGGTGGTTGTACGCGTCTTCCCTGTCTGGAATAGCTAATATTCTTTCGGGATGGATGTGCAACACGACGTCCTTCTGCACCCCTCTCTGCATCTCCAAGAAGAACGCATTGTCGAGATTAAAGGCGTTGAGGTTAATCTCCACGTCGTCATCCCCCTCCCCGCTGTCGCCCTCGTCTACTTTCTTCCCCCTCGATGATTTCGACCGTTTCCCGGAAGACTCACCGGTTCTTCGCCGTGTCGACGAGTCTTTTGGCGTTTCATCCCCACCTCCAACCCTTTTCCTCTTCTCAACAGAACCGCCCTCTCGTGTTGTTGGCGTTCGAGCACTCCCTCCTGCCTTTCTTTGTCTTTTCAGAGCACCTACTCCCTCTCGCTCTTCCTCATCTGGCAAGTTGCGCTTGCCTCCCGACTTAGTCTTTTCAGCCGATCTCTCACGGAACAGCCCCTGCTCGGACACCTCCTCCTCACCGGCAACGTTCCCACTTGCTTCTCGTTCCTGGCTCAACTCGGTCTGCAGTTGCGCCGGCGCTGGTCGGGCCCGGCGAGTCGTCTTATCTGACCCACGCACCTCCCGAACCTGCGGACCACCCGCTCAATCTCCAGGCGAAACCTCGGCCACCTGCATGCCACAAACGAACGAACCGATCCTTTCGACCAGACCACGAGGAGTCGTCGATTCTGAGCCCTGTTGCAACCGTTCGCCATCGCTGCCTCCATGTGGCGTCTACTCCCCAAGCAAACCGTGACGGTGAGATACATGCAGGCCCGGTTTCAAAGGAGCACGTGGATGGTCGTCCTCCGAGTCATCTGACATGCCCACCTCTTGATCAGGAGGCGTAGCTGGCAGGCCACCCTGACCTCGCATCCCTCCTTCAGAGCACTCTCCTCCCGCGAACCCAACAGGACCACTGATCGATGTTCCAGGTCCGACGTCCATGGCACTGACAAAGGTACCAGATTTCGCCCAGACCTCGAGGAAGTCTGTGACGTGAACGGCCTTGTCGTGCCCCGGCGCTATTGTATCGGATTCATCCGAGTCTAAAACCAGTTACATATTTGCGCACCCGCAATTTCTACAGCATGTTTGATCGGTGACGGGCAAGGTTTGTAGTCCGGCTGTGCACGTCTAATGTCAAGTCCGATATTTGTCTGTGTCGTTGCGTCGGATTCATCCGACTCTAAAGTTTGTTACATACTTGCGGGCCCGCCATTTCTACACCATACATGTGAAATTGGTGAGGGTGAAGGCTTGTCGTCCGGTTCAAGGCTGGCTATGCATTGTCTTTTTGTTTCGTTGCGCTGCCCTCTATAGTGCTCCCCAACAGGCGGACGCATCTCTGTCGCTTTATCATTGTAAAAGTCCAACTACTGTCTCGGCTGCGATTTGGGTCAACGACTGTTGCTCTGCTCGCAGGAAAAAGTGGAATGCTTCACTGGTGTGATACGACGACGGTCGATCAAGACTTCCCTCCCACGCCAGCTTGCCTTCCGTTACGTTTTCGGCAGGAATTGGCTGGGAAGGGATTGGTTATGGGCATTGGAGTTCCGAGAAGTGCCGATAGTACTTCTTCCCAACTCGAGCCATGTGCTTCCTCTGGAAAACGGTCACGTGACTCAAACACTTGGCATCAACGGAAGAGAACACAGTTGTCCACCTCCACCGCGTATTCGTACATCTGTCGTGGCGTGCTCGAAGACCACAAAAACACTGGAAGCAGGGACCAGTTTCTTAGTGTCGATTGTACATCCAGAGTCTCTTCAGCATGTTCTGAAATGACCGACGCTGGGATGTCGAGCTCCATACCCGAGAGGAATCTCGGTGACTGTACTTATAGTGGGACGGAGTACGTGTATAGTGCGAACAACTTCTCTACTATTGGTTCTTCCTTGGGAGTTGCCGATGGGGGTGATAGGGTTTCCTCGTCTACCCCTCCGCAGTGCCAGGAGAGTCAAGGACCGTCCACGGATGAAATCACTTAATACTGTTATTCACGAGACAGTCAGAGCTCACGCTGCCTCTCCGAAGAGGACCGCCACATATAATACATTTTGTCGGCGCCTATGCCCGGTGAAAGAAGACCCTATTTTATGGCAAACAGAGAACCGACCAAAAAGACACAGCATCGGCGAGCTATGGGCAAACTCAGGATGCAGTCATTTCAGGCAGTGCGAGGGATGTTCTGTTGTAGGCGGATGTGTTGCGCTGAACCGACAGTCGAAGATGTCAGGCCGGTGCGGGAGGTATTCTACTCGAAAAGTTTCGCGGAAAGGACGAAGTGGTGGTTGCAAACCATACATGACGTCACGGTTATGGAAGGTGGTGCTGAGCGGGTCAGGCCTGTAGCTTGAAAATGGAAGATATGAGTGCAGGCGTACTGTAACATTCTCGACATTTCTCGTAACACATTCTATGTCTATAAAAGGATGTACAATAACGGTGTTGTCGTTAGGGAGCATGGGCACTTTGGCTTGTCTAAACCATCCGAAAAAGTCGTCACGATGCTTGCACTGTTGAAACGATTCATCGACGACCACGCCGATAGTATGCCGAATGACATAGTCTGGAAAAATGGTGTCGTCCTCGCCGTAGGATTCCTGCGACATTCACAAAACGAGCAATTTACGAATCATTGCGCTCTGATCTTTTGATGTGTCACTCGGAAGTTGTCTCGGAGTCGACTTTCTACGCTATGTTGAGTAAGCACTTCTGGCACGTGAGTCTAGCTATGTCCAACACATTCATGAAGTGAGCAAAATGTATATTCTACAAGCAGTGCATTGCCAAGTCGAAGTACGAGAGGGACCGTAAGAAATCCAAAGATAGGATGCGGAAACATCAAGAGCTGCAAGTCAACCACAGGCTAGACTATAGCCGCTGCAAAATGGATTCCATCTTCCGGCAGTCCGAGTGTCTGTGCATCATTATTGACGGCATGGATCAAAAGAAAACTACCATACCTCATATAGGACAGGCTAACTACTCGAAGGACTTGCACCACGTGAGGATGATGAAGACTGGTGTCACGGCCGTTCTGGTCCATGGCCGGGATCCGTGTATATATGTTTACACATATTTTCCTTACTACACACACGGTCCCAACAGTACGGCGACATGTTTAATGCAGACTCTTACGGAGATCCAACCCAGTGGGAAACCTCTACCGTCGTTTCTTCGTATTCAAGCTGACAACTGCTTCAAAGAAAACAAGAATAGATTCATCTGCGCATTGGCAGCACTTCTTGTGAAGTTGGGGATTTTCAAGGAAATAGAAATTGGTTTTATGATAGTTGGACACACGCACACAGACGTCGATGCTACATTTAGTGTTTTCTCCAAGAAACTCAAGGACAATAATGCCTACACAATGGATGAGTTGTTCCTTTTGCTAGAGCGGTCTCATAAGACTCCTCCGCGGTGTATTTTTCTTGATAGGATAGCAGACTGGAGAGGTCTTATTTACCCGCATGTTTCAACGTGCATGATAGGGATTTCGAAGCCACATTTGCTAAAATTCTACATGATAGGTGATAGTCCCGCCATGTCCTATAAAGAGTATTACACAGACGCTAAGTGGTTGCCCGAGGATGGTCCTCTTTACTGGTTCAAACAAACAGACAACGGTGGTTACGCTGGTCCGCAGCAACCGGGTGTTCCTCGACGATTACAAGAATGGTTTGGAGGGTGTGAAGAGGTTATGAAAAAAAAAAAGAAACTTGGATGACTTTCCGAGACGAAGAGGTGACTAGAATAGATAGGGCTTTTCGGTTTTGGGAAGATCACGTCAAACACGCGGGGGACATTATCGACAACGGGGTGCCTTCGGCACCCATCACCGCATTCTGGCCAAAGGCCACCCATGTCGTTGAAGACAGGAGTTCTCGCTCTGATTCGGATGCATCCGAATTACAGAGAGAATCTCTATTCGTGAGTCTTCAGAGGGACAAGCCTAAGGCCATCTTTGATCCTTTCGAAGATGTGCATGTCGACAGTTTTGTCATTATGCAACCAACAGACGAGGACATGCATCAAGGAGGGTCTTTTTGGGTTGGCCAGGTTCGCACTGAAGTTGACAAGAACGAAGATTCGCCAACTTACAACCAATTCAAAGCGGAGTACTGGGTTCCAATCGAAAAAGCGAGCACACTAAGAGAATTGTACGCCGACGCTTGGGAAAAAAATGGAAAAAAACTCCGGGGCACGAGGAAGAGTATCAACATGTCACAACCGTTGCGTTTTCTTGGATGGGACAAACGAGGACGAATGTCTGCAAGTCCTCCAAAAAGTTTACCACCGGTCTTGTGATTCCTCAGAAAGTAAGAAAAAATGCAATTCCCACCCTAGAAAACGGCGTTGGCGCTCAAACACAAAGCGTTTCCGGAGAAGGGAGCGGGTAGGAGGCTACCTCATCGAGAGTGTGATGATTGTCGTCTTTTTGTGAGGAGAACGTATTGCCATGCTGGCCTGTGCACACCACGCTTGACTTCATGGAATACATCGCTTAATGATTTGTGCTCTCTGGGTTACGCGCTTCAAATCAACAAGAGTTCTTCATCAATTTTCGACATTGAGCGTGGGGGCGTTTTGGTCGTCGTAGCATGACCTCGGGCTTTCGGTCCTGACCTTGATGTGACGCTTTTATTGTGACTTTTGTCTTTTGCAGTGTGTAGACTTTCCTCTTCTGACGTACTTCGAAAACATGGATGAGATTTTGGGTTACATTGAAATAAAAGTACCTGAACGACTGGCGATCATCACAAAGGGAGGAGCGTTTCCTTTTCAATATGAGACAATCTTCAGGATAGTAGCGGGAGGACGGACAATGTTTGTCATTATGGTGAGGTTTAGTGATCTCAACATTTTCAACATGCGAATATATGAGCGTCGGGGTGAAAATTGGATGCGAGGAGATTTTACAAGAGCTTATGTAAAAGCTTCAGAAGTTCTTTTTGCCTTGAGACGTGTTGTGCTCGGAGCAGGGGGTGACCTTGAGGGTTTCTCGTTTTCCATTACGGAGTTTGAAGGTCTGCCTCAACCTCCAATCTCGGCTTGCATGGTAGACGGTTCGACATGGGAACCGATAGTGAACGCTCTGCGAAGAGGCTTCTTCTGAGGACTTCAACTTTTTAAGACGTTTGGTTACCAGTCTTATGTTTCGAGAATTTTGTGTCATTGTGTCGCATTTGTGAACATTTTCGTAGTATAGTCATTTCTTATTATTTTTAATTTTCACCAGTTTGAGAGACGAGTCTCGACACTTCCCAAGTTTTGTGGTCGAATGTCAGATTAGTTGAAATTTGCATACTGTAAAGTATTAACGAAAGCCACGAGTGTCGACCCTGGCTCATGGTCGGTTGTGGTTAGGATGCATCCGACCCAGAGAATAAGGATACTGTTATGACAACCAAACACAACAGCGTCAAGGGGGAAACTGGATGCTGGGGGATTTTACAGCACCTTATCTGCAAGCTGCAGATGTTCTTGTGTCCTTGAGACGTGCTGTTGTCATGGCTGGGGGAGACGTTCAAGGTTTCTCGATTTTCATGACGGGTTTCGAGGGTCTGCCTCAACCTCCTATCTCGGCTTGCATTGTGCACGGTTCAACATGGGAACGGCTAGTGAACGCTTTCCGAAGAGACTTCTTTAGAAGATTTCAAGTTGGGGACACTTTGGTGACGAGTCTTACGTTTTTAGAGTTCCGTCAGGATGTCGGATTTGTTAATGTTTTCATAGTGTAGGCTTTTTTAGAGAGACATCTCGACATCTCCAAATTTTTGTGTTAGAATGTCCGATTAGTTGAAATTTCCACGGAAACTTTTTGGTTAATTATGGACGGTCCGACATAGCCTTGCCAAATCTTTGGTTAATGGAAACTTTTGAGGTGACTGTTACGAATTCACAATATTGAGACCAGGTAACTGTTATCAGTTTTTACGACGTACTTCTTATTTGTCTCGACAATGGTTGTGTGCCTCCTTATGTAGGCTGGGTGTCCCGCTCTATTTTTAA